TAATTAAATGAAGTTTACATTTCAAGTTAGTCTCCCATACAAAATTTTTATACATACATTGTTATGAGACCCTAATTGCTCACCCCGTTCTGCCACAGCACACTCTTCCTTTCTGCCCATTATTCCCCATGACCATTCAACCAGCTTCTAACTCTCTCTGCCTTCCCATCTCACCTCTGGACAGAAGCTGCCCCTTTGGTCTTTTGTATCTACTTGACTAAGAGGCACACTCTTCACGAGTATCACTTTATGTCCCACAGTCCAGGCCAATCTCTGTCTGAAGAGTTGACCTTGGAAATTGTGTTAGTTCTGGGGTGATAGAGAGTCCAGGGGCCATGCTTTCCAAGGCACCTCCAGTCTCAGTCAGACCATTAAATCGGGTCTTACTAGAATTTGAGTTCTGCACCCCATCCTTCTACTGTTCCATCAGAGACCTTCTGTTGTGTTCCCTGTCAGGACATTCATTGGTGGTAGCCGGGCACCATCTAATTCTTCTGGTCTCCGGCTGATGAAGTCTGGTTTATGGGGCCCATTCTGTCTCTTGGGCTAATACTTCCCTTGTGTCTTTGGTGTTCTTCGTTCTCCTTTACTTCAAGTGGTTGGGACCAATTGATGCATCTTAGATGGCCGCTTGCAAGCTTTTAAGACCCCAGATGCCACTCACCAAAGTAGGATGCAGAACATTTTCTTAATAAGCTTTGTTATGCCAGTTGACCTAGATGTCCCCGGAAAGCATGGTCCCTAGACCCCCTACCCCTGCTACTCTGTCTCTCAAAGTATTTGATTGTATTCAGGAAACTTCTTAGCTTTGGTTTAGTCCAGTGGTTCTGACTTCCCCTGTAGTGTGTGGGATTTGTAGATTTTTAAAAGCTAATTTCTACTCATTAGCAAGACCACAACCATTGCTAACTTTAATCCTAGATGACTGCTCTGGCCTCTCACTGAGTATTGATTCTTTAGTCTAATGCTCTTGGAAGTAGGACAATCTGCATGTACTTGTGATTTCTCCCTAACAAGCATCTCAGCAACCTCTGATCAAAGCAGAACAGCAAGAGGAAAAGTAGTTTTTGTGAGTAGTGTGAGTAAAATGTAAAGTTGGTCAGGGGCCACTGTCGATTCCACCTCAATGCTCACTTCATAGCATGACTCTTCATAACTAAGGAAGATTATAGAGTGCAGGCGAAACTCCAAAGCTCTTTCTCATCGTGTAACTATTCTAGTAGAACTAGTGGTTTTTGCTTCTTCTTTCTCCCATTAAAATCAAGGAATATCTTTTAGGTATATGAATTAACAAGGAAGGAGATTATTCCAGATTCTCTGTAGCTCCCTGTTTTCAACATTGCACACTCAGCTTTGGCTTCCTATTGCATCTTAACATCCTCCACTGAAGGTCACAGAAGTTGCTGTTTGCTAATATGTATATGCTGAAAATTACCTTAATTACTGGTACCTCCTAATCGATCCATTAAAGTTGGAAGGCAAAATTGGATTTATTTTTGGATCATTTGAAGCTTTTATTACATATGATTATACTTTATAAGGCACTTTCTGTTTTAAGCCATATCAAATTCCAATGGAAAATAAAAAGAATTAAGCAAATGATCTGAACATCTGGCAAACATTGGCAAACACAATCACTCAAGAAAGCATTGAGAAAGATTTTGCCTTTCATGCTCATAGCACTCCACTTGAAAGATTTTGATGTTTCCCTGGTTTAGAGCTCATTCTGGGTTACTGGGATCTCTTAAAAGTCTTCAAAAGTAGAATATGAATTTACCATGATTAGCTGGCAGTATCTATCATCAGGGTCTTGATCTTGTCCTGAACCACAGATTAGCCCCATCAGTTAGCTGATAATGTCTGATTTCCTTAGAAAAGAAAAGCAGAAGACAGACCTAAGAAATATTGCACCAGAAGTGGTACAACATAATGACAGGTAATGCCACACCTGACTAAAAAAGTGTTAATATACTTTTATATCAGTAGAATACTTGAATTATCACAAAAAGCTTATGATGATGTACTATTATTGCCATTTTACAGACTAAAATGAGGTTCAAAGAGATAAAATTGTCTAATGTAACTCAATTAATAAGGTCTGTAACCAGGGTAAAAATCTGAGTCATTTGATACTAAAGCTTGTGCTTCATTCACACAATTATTATAACTACAGTCTAGCGGGAATAGTGAATTAATGTCTCCATCTCCAACCATTTCTATGCCATTTTGGGATCGCTTGCACTTTTGCCGATGATTGCTATATATGAAATAATATATCAAAAGGCTTGCTCTATGCAGAAATAGGAACAGTAAAGTAAATGAAAGGATGAAATGGGAACTGATAATATGGCCTGCCAGTATGTTTAGAGATGATCGGTTTTAAAATTGTGTTCTTATTCTTATAAGCCCTCAAACCCAATAACCCATTCCTGTGAGGTGTTTGATTATGTCTAGAAAGTATCCCTAACTTAAGTCTCTTAATTTTTTATAGTGTTTTCTGCAATACAAATATTTTACATTTTATTTTTATATTTACTCTTAGAAAGTCCTTTTTTTAACCTACTATAAAATAATAACTTATTTCTATCAATATGTTTTTTTTAAATTGTTTTCTCTATTGTGAATTCTATGCTTATATTTTCATCCTCTTGATCAACAAGGAAACTTAGTGTTTTCTCTTGTAAATACTGCTATAGGTTTTTCGGGTTTTTTTTTCATTCCTAAATTATAAAGTGTGAAAGTAATGAGTTTGTCTTTAAAATTCAATTCATACTTAATTAAATGCCCTTCTTCACCACCATCGTTTTTCTTAGTAGTGTGGTGTGTATCTTTAGCTATACTGTATATCAGTGTTGTATTGCAGCTTCTCTTGGAGGAACACTTGTACCTGTTCTAAAATGAGAGCATTGGTATGATCAGCTTAGGTTGTAACCTGGTGTTAATCATAGCTGGCTTACAAGGGAAAGTTCCAAGGACCCTCCAACTACACACAGTCCCATATGCCCCCTTGCATTCTAGGAATACTCAAGCAAAAGCCCATTGGTGATGTTTTACAATGGGTAACATTGACCACAAACATACCTGTGTACTTTTGTAATCTTTCCCTCCAGTAATAATCCTTTCAGATCCTGGAACATGTTTATTTCTTGAGTTTTGTGTCATACATAAGATTTTCCATAGACAAATATTTCCTAAGCATTTATTTGGGAAACTGTGAGAGGAAACGTTATCACTTTTATTTAAACTAAGACCTATCCGCCATACCCAACCTCCATCTATTCAACAGAATTATATTTTGTATAGCTCTGTGGCATATCAGGAGCCCTGGTGGCACAGTCTTTAAGAACTTGGCCACCAACCAAAAGGTTGACAGTTCGAATCCCCCAGCTGCTCCTTGGAAACTTTATGGGGCAGTTCTGCTCTGTCCTACAGGGCCACTATGAGTTGGAATTGACTCATGGCAGTGGATTATGGTATATCAAGAATCATCTCATATATTTTAGAAGGTAATGAATTAATATTAACATTTTTATAGCACAGACCTAAAGAGATTAAGTGATATATTCAAGTTACACAGTAAATTGTGTAGAAACAGAAAACCAACATTCATAGCCAATTTCATTACCTAATAAGAATGAGTATGTTTCATAATTGTGTGACTCTTTTTTAAGAGGATCATAATAATGTCAGAAAACTACATTAAGTTATGTTTCTCAAACTGTGGTACAAAAATCACCTGCATCAGAATAACTTAGATTATTAAAAACGGTGAAAACAAACTTTCAGTTATTTAGTATTTCAGTGTTTAAAGTAAAGATATGAATTGTGTACCTCAAAAATTAGAAAGGGGAAAACTATAACTTATTACAGTGCAGAATCTTGATTCCCATTCAAGATTCCAAGAGGGCAGAGGAGCAGTTACCTGCAGTTTTAACAGTTCTTCAATTGATTTCTATGCAAACAACTTTAAGAACCAGTGCCCAAAGTATTTACTTATATGTTTGGGCTTAAAACTGGATAATCATAACAATATAAAATAAAATTTAATGTTATATTTCACTTTCCAGATAGATGAAGCTAAAAAGTTCCATTTTCCATAATTTTCAAGTATTTAATTTAGAAAAACAAAATTGTACTTTTTCTTACTTCTGGCAACTACTTGAATATAACACAGTGTTCTACTTAATTGGGTACATTTATGTAGTTAAGCGTTTCTAAGCAGATTTTGTGTTCTCTGAACTATTCCATGTCTTTTTCGTAGTAGCATAAATCTTGATGATCAAATAGTTTGTTGTTGTTTCTTTTTGAAATATTGGGGGAGGGGAGATTTCTGCCAAAATGTACACTTTTCTCTGACACTCTTGTTGAATTCCCATTCTTCATATGATTATTTACTCTAAAATAGCTTCCATGTAAGTAAGATTCCTGCTGTTACCTCAAGCATCCTGCTTGATTACATTTTATTGCTGCTAATAACTAAAAATGAAGCAATGCATTAGAGTGGATTTCAGGTTAATTTTATTTATATTGGAGGAAAATATAAGTTTGAATGAATTTTTGAACTTACAAATATTCCAGTTATATTAAAGAATTAACAGATTATTTTTAATTATGTCTCAAAAAAGTTTTGTCTTAAAAACCAAATACAGTAAAACCTGTGAAAGCCAGAATCTGTGTAAGGCAGAAATCTGTCAGGGAAGGCAAACTCCAGTATTTTCCACTGAAACGAACGATGGAAACGTGGTAAGATAGCAGCCCGTCAAATGCGGAAAACTTGCGAAACACAGAAAAACAAGGCAGTCTCTTCGAGTTCCGGCTCTCGCAGGTTTTACTGTATGTATTGTAAATGTAGCATTGATTCATACAAATAAAATATAATGTGAGTATAATTCTACCAAAAAATTTAAGTAATTGACGAGTAACTAATAAATACTTTTTTTTTAGGACATATTGCATATCCTTCACCTGACAAATATTTGATCTTTGGGTCTCCTTAACAGGCTTATGCAGGCAAAGACCTGGAGGAGCAGTTACGGTCCGTGTCCAGCGTGGATGAACTCATGACAGTACTCTACCCAGAATACTGGAAAATGTTCAAGTGCCAGCTGAGGAAAGGAGGCTGGCAGCATAACAAAGAGCAGCCCAGCCCCAACCCAAGGACAGAAGACAGTATGAAATTTGCTGCGGCCCATTATAATGCTGAAATCTTGAAAAGTGAGTGCAAGAAAGAAAACAGATAATGATCCTTCTATATTAAACCAGAGAAAGATGCTGGCCTAGTCTTTGAATTTCAGCATTTCTACCACAGAATATACCTTTCGGGCCATATAAACAGGAAATAAATAATTAATTTAAAATAGAGCATTTTATGATTTCACATTTGTGTTAAAATGAATTCTTGAGCTATAAAGATGCAAAAGTACATGCATATCAGCACACTTTAAATGCTTTGTAAATTGAGGTACTACCCTACTTAAAATTTTAAAAAAACATGTAGATATGTTTTGTACACTATATCAGTTTAATCATTTGAACATTCTGTATCTTACAAGCTACTTTGTGCATGTTTTCTTTTTGACTTGGATTTAAAAATGCTTCATTTCTCTCAAAAGAAACCAAAATCACCTTTTCAAATGCTACTTGTCTTGCTGCTTCACAGATAACTGGCTTGAGAGCTGGACTTTTGTAAAACCCCTGAGATGTCTAACCAAAAACCCCACACAAAAAATAAGATGATGTGTAAAATGGCGGAACATAAATTGGTGGACTCATTTTAAAAAATTAACTTCCTTCAGTTGTTAGAGACAAATTGCTATCTAACCTATAACAGGTTTGAGAATACAAAGTATTTTGAGAACAAAAACAAACAAAATAGCTTCATGGTTGAACAATCAGTAGTTTATGTTCTTTTTTCCCAAAACTCTTATTTTAGGGAAGATATGGGAGAAATAAACTAGAACATTTAAGAAATACATCGTTTGTAAAGCAGCATATATATAGTCAACAGTGTTACAAGGAAACACTAACTCGTTGGAAACAGAATTCAAAGAGAGAACATAGAATGAATAGGAGAGTTTGACTTTCCTGAAGAAAGTTCAGGATACAAGTCCTAACTGATAGAAAATAGCCTTGCATTTCAGGCAGCTACCACCATGACATTACCCGAAGTTGCCAAATAGCCTTCCTGAAAATGATTTTTGAATTGAGTCCAAAACCATAGCCATCTTCTCATTTAACATCTCAGTTTAAAAAGAAAAATAAAATCATGTTATTCTGTTTTGAGACCACAAAAATAGTAGTCATAGTATAGCACAATGAGCCTGACTCAGTCTTTGCAAGTCTTGTAAACATCCATATATTAAATTTTCATTTTCTTAAGCAGGGAAACCCAAACATAACTGCCATGGGATATTGGTGTACTTTTAAGAAAGTATAATCCTAATGTAGCTAGTTACATGGCTGTAAAAATAAGTTTTGGTTAGCAAATACCCTTAGCTGCTTTGTTAAATATTATATTCCCAGCCACAGGGAAATGTAGATTCCTGCCAACTATTTATTTAAAGTTACATACTTGACTTAAATCTTGACATCTAAAATCAAATGTGAATGACTTCCGACTGCTGTGGGCTTTTTCCCCGTTGGTGGCTTCTGTGTAACTCATGAACTTCCCTGTGATTTGACAGGTATTGATAATGAGTGGAGAAAGACTCAATGCATGCCACGTGAGGTGTGTATAGATGTGGGGAAGGAGTTTGGAGCAGCAACAAACACCTTCTTTAAACCTCCATGTGTGTCCGTCTACAGATGTGGGGGCTGCTGCAACAGTGAGGGGCTACAGTGCATGAACACCAGTACAAGTTACCTCAGCAAGACGGTAGGTATTTCAGCTCTGGCTGAGAGCCTTCTCAGTCAGAATCTTTAATTTGGAGAATGATTTGCTTAAACTCCTGCTCCCTTTAAGTAAATTAGCTCAGTTCAGTTTCTTATATTTTCTTTGGGGATTGAAGTAAATTTTTTTCAGATTTTGTGTTTTCAATAACATATTACATAGGAAGCAACTGATGATTGATGAACTCTGTTTATTTGGTGGTATCAAGGCTGAGTGAAGAAAATCATACATATACAGTATAAAACCAAACCAAACCCGTTGCTGTCCAGTTGGATTCCAACTCATAGCGACCCTATAGGACAGAATAGAACTACCCCATAGGGTTTCCACGGAGCAGCTGGTGGATTTGAATTGCCGACCTTTTGGTGAGCAGCCAAGCTCTTAAGCCCTGCACCCCCAGGGGCTCCATATACAGTATATATGTTGATATTTAAGGATAAACATTATTTTTCAAAATAAACAACTTTAAATGGGTAAATATCATTATCAAGATATAAAACAAATTATAAAATCAAACCAAACCCACTGCCGTTGAGTCGATTCCGACTCACAGCAACCCTGTAGGACAGAGTAGAAAATATTCATGTGTGTGTTCTATGAAGCAGTTAAGTATTATTGACATAAGCCATTACACTGAACAAATTCATTGTGCCCTTTTAGAGAGCAAAGGAAATAATTCTGACACCAAATCTCATGTATTTCGAATAACCGTAAAGTCTGTCACATCAGATGTTAAGCTTCTACTAAGAAACTTCTCTCAAGGGTGGTTTGGACCAGGGATTTTCAATGCAGGCACACAGACCCGCATTGTAGGTATTACTTGGATGAGAGGCTGGCTCTCAGGGGACATGTTTATGTGTAGATGATAACCGTGGGAGTGTTGTTTGAAATGGTGTGTGCCATGGCCCTCTGCAGAGAGTGACTGGAGAAGGCCGGTACTGTGGGCAGGGCTGATGCAGCCTTCTCCCAGAAAGGCAAAACTGTGGGTGTTCTCAAGTCTAGTCTAAGCTGTTCGGAGAATTGAAGTAGCATAGGTAATATGGCTCCATTGGGACCAGTATTTTGACCTTTAGTATGAAAAAATGAAATTATTTGAAAACTTTGATGTTAGATTTGATTTATATGGTATAGTCATGGCATCAAATTAACATTTTTAATTAAACAATCCCCTTACTTAGAAAACATAACTAATAAAAGTTTCATTTCATACAAATTTTAGACAGTTACATGGTTCCCACCAATAAAAACTACCTCTTAATATAAGATTCATGGCAGTGAAAGTTAGGATTACTACTTCAATTCTGACCCAGTTGAAAACTTCCAACATTTTTACTGTAATGATCATTTAGTCTCTGAGTTAGGAGCTGTTCTCCTATTACAATATCCAAATTGCCTTTTTTTACTGTATTTTTTATATTGCTCACATGCTTGATGAAGGAACAATCCAATATTTCAGATACTAATACTTGGAGACGAAACAAAAACTAAACTATAAATCTGAATTATGTATTCAACTCGCCTCTGCCTAAACCGGAAAGATTAAAAGAAAATTATTAGGTGACGCTTGGAGGCCATATATTGTTCCTGTTATTATCATTGTTTGTTAAGTACATCCATAAAGAGTTTATTTTCTAATTATTTCCTAAAAGTACAGAAAAATAATATAGTGTTCATTCTAGCATGTATTAGCAAAGAAAGTAGTATAATCCTAAATTTATTCATATATTTATGAATCTTATTACAATATAATGCGATAACATTTCAGTGCTTGACAAATTAATGAATTAACGTAACTGAAGTGTTTAGGCATGGCAAAATTGCTTGATTGATTTTTGTTCCCAAATCTGTATCAAACAACAATTGTTTGCTAAGAAATTGTGGTTTTATATTGTATACTATTTTGAATAAAGTAATACTAATTTCACAGATTTTACTATGTATTATGTCTTTCTCTTATCACAACTCTGAAGTGAAACAGGCTTTTTTTTTTTAAATTCTTAATGAATGTTGGAACTAAACACCATTTTCTAGACCACTGATTATCAGATAGTAATTATGCCAGTCAAACATTTCTCCAAAAGTAACATTCATCTTAAGAAGATATTATTATAAAAAATGTTGCTGCTTTTAATTTCAAGCCAAACTCCATAAAAAGAACTTTGGGATTTTGTCTTTTGAAAATGGCATTTTTTTAAAGTTAGAGAAAATAAATATGGCTGAATTAGGAATTAAAATACACTTTTTGGGGAATACCTTTAAAAGTATATTTTTTAAGTAATCCAGTTAAGAAACATAATATGTACCTGAAATTAATTTTATCTATTATAATGGTGTTTGATTTAAATCAAGTATAAATTTGGTTAATTATCAAAGGGTTAAGTATAACAATTGTATTTTTGGAAGGTCAAAGGGTTGTATCTTTTTTAAATATGAAATGACATGGAATAGATTCGAGGATAGATCTTAAAGAATTATTTCATCAAATAAGATAAAACATATCTATTACAAGCTCATTATTCATAGTTCTAAAAACACCTTATCGGATTTAGTCGTTAGATGAAATTTTACTTTGAATGTGCTCTTGTTGCAAAACTGTAAATATTAATAGCTATTGCAGTGTTGAGGTTTTTTGTGATTTTTTTTTGCTTGTTTCTTGAAATTTCTAACTTTTTTATAGTTCTTCTATTTTCTTGATGAAAATGAGTTGCCAGTTGACAGTATCAAAAGCTTTTTTCATTAGTAATATCTTCCATAAAATCATCTATTACATCTTGTTAAGTTAATACAGGAGGAAAAATCTAAAAATGAGTCTACTTTAAAAAATGTCACAAGCTTTCTTGCTGAGATCTTTGAAAAGTAAAATATTTCAAAATATGTCTTCTTTAAATACTGGTGTCCACATGTTTTCTATAATAGTCCCTCAAAAAGGTTCTTTTTCTCTCCAACACAAACCCATCCTCACAAAATAACATTGTAAAAAAAACACCCTGGTCTTACCGTTTTAACTGTCTGACTGCATGACTTCACTTCTGGTCGGAACCGTAGGGAGTATCTTTGACTTCTCATTTCTTTCTTCACAAATCCAACTTGTCACATAATCAAATGTCAGTTTCATCTCCCAAGTATCTTGAGTCTCCATTAGAACTAAACTTGGAAAATAGAAAGTCAGTAAATTGTTAGTAAATAAATGAATAAATAGATTCAGTCATCAGTTCCATGGCATATTTATTCCCTACATTGATCTAGTAAGACCTTGTATTCACCTCTCTGATGTCAGAGTGGAAGTATTTACTCAAGGATAGATTTGTACGCACAACTGTATGCAAGCTAGTCTGTAAATATGGAGGCTTGGGGTGAGTAGACTTCAGAAATCACAAAATCACAAGGCTTCGGGGCTGAGAGAAGAGATCCTACCAGTGCTAAGTAAGGATCAAGCACATGTAGGTGAAATAGATTTTGGTTCAGTATCCTGAGTACTTAAACACCAAATATAGGATATCTTTCTGTAAGAAAATTACTTCTACTTTAGATCATATGGAATCATTCCGTCTGTATCTTTCACTTCCAAGCTTCATAGAGTTTAGGATTACTTTTGTAACACATTTGTCTTGTTGACGTTATTAATTTTATCAACTTCCTCTCAATCATCTAAACCCACTGCTGTCAAGTCAGTTCTGACATAGGACAGAGTAGAACTGCCCTATAGGTTTCCAAGGCTGAAATCTTTATGGAAGCAGACTGCCACATCTTTTTCCCACAGAGTGGCTGGTGGGTTCAAACTGCCGACCTTTTGGTTAGCAGTTGAGCACTTTAACTGCTGTGTCACCAGGTCTCCCAATCACTTTCTCATATTAAAATCACAATTTACCTGTAAAATTTTTGAAGGCTGTTTTTGTTGATGGTGGTGTGGTGTATGTTTCTCAGTTTTGTTTTGACCATCATTAATAGGCTTGATACTTGCAATAATCACAATTCTGATAAATTCATGTCTGTAAAGTAGTAATGTTTTAAATTGATACATCATTATACCAGCAGAGTAATTTACTTTTGTCATTTTGATTTTTTTTAAGTATTTTCAGGCTTTTTGGAATTAAAATTTTGAAGAAAATTGAAATCATGATATTAACTCCTCAGGATTTTTCTCAAGATACTTCACACCTGACTCCACACATTCTCTTTAGGTTTCCTCCTGGTGATGACTCCAGCTTTACCTCCAGCTCAGATTTCTCTCCTGGTCTCCAGACTACATACTCACCCTTTGACTTGGTTTTCCCGCAGACGGATGAAAGTCAATCTCTGTCACACTGGAGTTATGACTTATTGCCCTCCCACAAATAATAAGCCAGTGAATGATAACCATTCTTTCTCCAGTGTTCTTTGTCTTAGTAAATGGTGCCTTCATTCACCCAGTTGCTCAAGTTGTTTTTCCTCTCCCTAAAGCCCAAAAAATACTGGCTGTTTAATCTGTCTTCCAAATATATCTAGAATCCATCTGGTATCATCATTCTACTGCTCACCGTGATCTAGTCCCCTTTCTTTTTTCACCTCAACCATTACAACAGCCTAATAACTGTTCTCATACCTCCATTCATGTTTCCCTCCAATCCATTTGCCATATTTTAGCCAGTAATTTTTTTTCCTAAAATGATAAATCAGGTAATGTACTGCTAAACACTCTTCAGTAACGTTGCATTTTTAGACTGAGCCAGCGTTCAGCTAGTGTGTTGACAAGCTAGTCTTTTCTAATTGAGTTGTTCAAGCCAGCATCTGTTCTGATTGGTGGGTGTAAGTGTCCTAAGGTTTTAAATATTTTTAATGGCAACCCTTCCCTCAGGCAAAATTCCTTAGCATCATTTACTGGTTCTTGCATGATCTGGCTGCTGCTAAGTCTTCAGCCTCATTTTTCTCTGCTCTTCTTCTCAAATGCTATTTCCTGTCGGTACTCAAATTCTTTTAGTTCTCAAATTACGTCAGTATCTTTCGTC